ATCACCACTACCAGAAGCTAATGTATTTCCATCAGGAGAAAAACAGACTGATCTAACCCAACTACTATGACCATCCAACTTATTCAATTCATGGACTTTTATGTTCTTCCATTTACAATTTAATAGTTAAGCACCATTCAAATTCAATCCACTGATATCTACATTAACAAACTCAGATCCACTCAAATTACACCTTACAAAGTTTCCTCCAATCAAAGAAGTATTCTCTATCCTGATGTTCTCAAATGATTCATTCCTAATATCTGCCTTCATGCCTACTAATAGGTTTAATGCATTCGATCCACATTGAATAAATTTTATATCTAAGCTTGTGAGTAGTACTAAAAATTTGATTAAATATGTGATTCCATTGTTATCCTTCATCCTTTTGATCAGATCCGCTCTTTCCTTTTCATAAGTCTCAGAAGAATAATCATCCGTACTAAATTTATGTTCCTAAATATTTCTCAAGACATTTGTGATTTTCTTTACTTACTTCTTGATCTCCTTTATATTCTCTTACTTGTAGTTTAAAGATTCATAAAACTGATTATTGTTTGTCTTCGACAGGAATCCAATAATGTCTGAAACTTTCTCTTGTCTAAGTATATCGATAATCTTCTAATAGAGAGATTCATCTATATCCTAGATGTAGGTTAGCATCTCATATAAATCTTCTTTCATTTAATATACTTCTTATGATTCTTCTTCTTGATTAGGTGAAATTCTACAATAATAAATAAATACTTACTTAATTAATTATTGGATTTATTGGATTCCTTAGTTAGACTTCTCAATAAAAGCCTTTATATGTTGGTCCCACCAACTCTTGGTCTTATCTAACTCCTTCATATAAGACTTTTTCTAAGCATTCCAATCATTTAAAGTTGATCCTTCTACAATGTTTACTAATTTTTCTAAATCTGTGTAAGAGGATTCAGCTAGATTAGTATTTTCATTAATGAGGTTTAAGTATGATTAGTTTTCCTTCTCAATCAAATCGTATACTTATTTGATAGATTGTGACAATTCTTCCCAAATTTTCTTCATCATTTATTCGGTTTGTGTGAGCATGGCTTTAAAGGCCATCCTTTATTTGGTTAGTTCAGATGTATCATTAAGCTTGGAGTCTTTTAATTTCTATATAGCCCTTTATCTAAATATTTAAATTGGGATGGTTAATTTCTAATCCACTCCATGTTCATATTGACATACTACACAAAGTTTCCTTTAGCATTAGCACTTGTGAGGAGCCACACATATCAAAGTGATCGGATTTTGAAAATGGTGGGTGCAATTGATCATCTTTTATTTTTAATATTGAATTTCTATTACTCAAAGTTTATGTTATATACTGCAAAATCGATAAAAGTATCTTGTGCATTTTTGTTAAATAGAAGATAGGACTTTGTTTAGATTTTGAATTGATTGTATTAGATTTAAATGAGGCTATTGAGAATTCATTTCGATATCTGCATTACTTGATTTTTTAATAATATGGAATATTTTTATTTTATACGAAAATTGAATTATTACTAAATTTGAGTTCAATTATTTATTTTTCTTGTTAAACTTTAAAAAAATAATTGTAATTTTTCATCTGAATGGAATATGTTTTCATTCTCCTTTTAATGTTATTTTTTCATAAAGAGTTGCTATTAATAAATTAGTATTCTTCTTGTTTTTAAGAGAGAATTGAAACTTTAATTAGATACAGATTGATTAGAATATTCAAGATTTTAAATTAATGAGTAAAAGTTAGTTTTATCCCTCATAAATATATTGCTGTTAAACTTAAAAATTGTGTTTAATGACTGAGAAAAAAAGCGAAATCGGATATTTTCAAGGGCCCATTTTTGCTTCCACATTTATTATGACCCCTCAGATATAGGTGGTCACCTTTTAGGGGTGAAATAGTGGTCATAAATTATTTTTAACATTTTGAAAAAAAGCAGAGTATTGTAAAAAGTGAACTTTTACTTTTTGAAAAATTGCATCCACATTTTTGTTGAAATGAAAAGAGATGTAAAATTATGGTGTTCACATTTGATCTTAGAATGGTTGGGCTATTAATTGATGTATGATATGC